TGCACGCAATGCTTGCCATGCATAGTTCCATGAACCGCGATAACTGGGCATCACTGCTGCCTTTTGTCCAACTGGCTTACAACACGTCATTTTGCTCCACCACGCACGAAACGCCGTTTTTTCTTATGTTGGGTCGGAAGCCACGTCTACCAGTTGACATTATTCTCGGCATCCCTCATGAGGGAACAACAGCAAATACCGAGGAATTCTCTAAAACTACACAGGAAATTTACAGGTTGCTTTTGAACTAGCGCGCCGTAACCTATCGGAACGCACACAAAAACAAGCTGCCAAGAACGCTAAACTGCGCCCTATCCCTGTGTTTAATCCTGGTGATCGAGTACTTGTGTACCGCACATACCAGGATTCGGAACGACCAAATCCGAAATTATTGTTACCGTGGAGAGGACCTTACGTCGTCTGCTCTAAATTATCACCGGTGGTATATAGAGTGAGACGCCAGAACGAAACTCGAGAAGTTTCGGTCCATTTAGCCCAGATTAAACAATACTACGCAAGGAAAACGCCACCTGCGCCAGACTTTGATAAACTTTCCGAGTTTTTCTTAGGACGCCAGATTCCGTTGCCCAAGCTAGACCATCCCGACGAAGCTCAACCGAAAATTGAATCCTACGTCGTTGACAAAGTGGTAAGCCATAAGAGTGGTAGGGGGCCGAAAACCCCGTACAACTACAAGTATCGTTTGCGTCTTCGAGGATACGGCCCTGAGTCAGACCTTGAATATAGAGCAGACGAAATTCCACAACGTCAAGAAATGACAACTGCCTACCGAATCCGCTGTGGTTTGGACATCGTGCAGTCTGATAAATCTTCGTCTCGTGCCCCAGTAGAACAGGGAGACCCAAAATCACCCAGTAAAACAGGGAAACGAAAACGAAAACAGGCAATTACTTCTCAAGAACCTTCAAGTCGGAAATTGGTTACGCAAAGTGGCTCTGAGCCATTGAACAAAACCAGGAAACGACGACGAAGGCGCCTAAAGGAGGTTCCATTACCCAATTCGCGTTCTGCAGAGTGTGATACCCAATTACCCTGCCGTACTAGCAACCGAAAACGAACTAGGGCCAGGAAATTAAACGATTGATTTATTCTGTCGTTCCTAACAGTTGCCATATCTATCTGTTCCGACACTTGGGACATTTTCTACTAATTTTTTTCTGTGTTATGTTAGCACAGGACCAGTAGCCACGGTGGTGGGTTGTATCCATTGGAAACAGCCTATTTTTTTTGAAGTGTTTGGGGAAGCACTCACGAGGAGAGTTGAACTAAACCACCGTTATCCCAAGATCGTATTCTTGATGAGTCAAAAATAATCTCCTGGATTTTCACTTCAAATTCATCACGTAGTCCCGGTGGAAAACAAACTCTTTCTCAGGTAGCGCCTTCGTGAGGAAATCGGCATGCTGATACTGCGACGCTNATTTTTTTCTGTGTTATGTTAGCACAGGACCAGTAGCCACGGTGGTGGGTTGTATCCATTGGAAACAGCCTATTTTTTTTGAAGTGTTTGGGGAAGCACTCACGAGGAGAGTTGAACTAAACCACCGTTATCCCAAGATCGTATTCTTGATGAGTCAAAAATAATCTCCTGGATTTTCACTTCAAATTCATCACGTAGTCCCGGTGGAAAACAAACTCTTTCTCAGGTAGCGCCTTCGTGAGGAAATCGGCATGCTGATACTGCGACGCTACGTGGATGATCTCTACCTCCTTCTCATCTACGAGCTGCCTGAGGAAGTGATGCCGCACGTCGATGTGCTTCGAGTTGGAATTCGAGATCGGGTGTTTTGCGATCTGTATAGCACCTTCGTTATCCTCATACAGTGGAATGCATGGCCGCAACTCCTTCGGCAACATGAAACGCCAAACCTGCCTCAAAAACAAAATCTCCTTCCCCATGTCCGCCATTGCCACGTATTCAGCCTGCGTGGTAGACAAAGTCACACACTTATGAGTCTTGGAGAACCATGCAATTGCCCCTCCTGCACACATCACTACCCCTCCCGAAACCGACCTACGGTCTGCCGCACGTGAAGCGTAATCCGCGCCGACAAACGTGATTAAAGAAATTCCCGAAACCGTCCCCCTCTGAAAAGAAATCCCGAAAGAACTAGTCCTAACTGCATATCCTAA